ACATCTTAAATGCCATTTTTCAATTACCTTTGGATATATCAAATCTGATGAAAATGCAAAACCTGAAAATATACCAAAATACTTCACTGCTTTAATGACTAGTCAGCATCTTTGGAAGGTACATATCCATACATCTCAGGGCTTTAAAGATACAGCAAAGAAATCTTTGTGTGATTATAACTTAACTGAGGGAGCATGAGACCATGAGACAATGTCAGAGACTGGAGGAAGACAATCTGACAGAAGAGACACATGGTGCTAACTCTGTGCTGTGGGTGAGTTCACTCAAGGTCCCAGAACTTGTTTTAATATGGGAACACAGTTCAACTTACTTTCATGGTGACTTTCACTGACATCATGACAAGGTGAGTACATTCTTTTGTCCAGCTGTTCACAGTGAGTCCTCCAAGTTGCAACACAGCTTGATTTAGAGCAGTTTTCCCAGACACATCTAAGCAAGAAGAACAGGCAACCAAAGGCTCATACTCTACCCTGTGAATGACAATAAAGTTACGTTATCACAGTTAGAAAGACTTTACAACTTTACAATACTTTACAACTTTAAGCTTACAACATATTATTCGTTTAATTTTGACACATTATAAATTTGTAACTTAGGAAATTCTTACCTCCTAAGTCTTGTGTTCCCAAAGAAGAAAAAGACATGGCCAACATCAACATTACATTTTAACTTATGAAGCATCAAACAAACGAGGCTCCTATCACAACTCACAGGGACTAACACAAACTTTTACTTACCTGTCACCCCCCACCTGTGATCCACAAAATATACCAACCACACAGAGTTCACTACTGTGCTAAACGGGAAGTCAATTATACTGTCACCTTATAATCCTTATCTTTGCTTTAACATTCAATTGTTGTGAGATAAAATTGTCCACTTTAATCTAATTTAAAAAGTGTGGGGCCAGTGCCATTGGTTTGGTACACTAAGCTTCCACCAGGATTCTATATGGGCAACAGTTCATACCCCAGCTTCCCAAATGTGGATCCAGCTCCCTGCTTGTGGCCTGAGAAGGCAGTCAAGGACAGCCCAAAGTTGTGGGACTCCTCAGCCATGTGGGAGACTCAGAAGAGGCTCCTGGTTCCTGGCTTCAGATTGGCCCACCTCTGGCTGTTGTGGCAACTTGGGAGTGAAGGCAGGATCTCTTAGTCTCTCCTTCTCTCTGTTCATCTGCCTTTCATGTAAAAGTAAATCTTTAACAACAAAAATTAAATAAACAAATCCATACCTGAATTTACTTTCAAACACTCCAAAGGTGACTCTATCCCCTGTCTTCAAAGTTTGGGGAAGGTGATTTTGCATTTTTGCCTCATTAACAAAGGTACCATATTTAGAAGTATCTTTGATTGTCAATACAGGGATTTCATCAGTTTGACTCTGAAAATTAGAGAAGTAATTACAAGTCTTTTACAGCTCAAGCACATACAATCCAGGGGGAAATTATTCACAGGAGACATTTGATAACTTTTGAAAAGGGTAAAATAATAAATAGCTGCATATCCTGCCACCACAGGGAATGACAGCTACTGTTCTGGCTGCCTTCAAAGGACTAATTAGCAATTAACATAAATATCTCCCTTTAAGAAAATCTCTGAATTTCAGAATTATAACTCTTAGAACACAAATTTTTCTTTATTTCTGTAAATCAGTTGGGACTTTCCCAACCCTTCCATTTCACACACTTGAGAATTTTATGATTGGCAGCAGTTTGCTTCATGCATAACATGACAGCTTCAGTCCTAAGTTTTCGTTTTGCTTTGTTTACATTATCAAAAGCACATGGTAAATACTGGGCGAATGAAAACAAGGCATAAAGCCTAGAGGTTCTGACTTTTGGTAATAATTTTATTTTATTTTTTCTCTTGCAACTTCTATAATAATGCTTTTCTACAACACAAATAGACACAAAACCTAAATGCCAGTAAACTAATCCATCACTTGTGCATTTGTCACATTTGTTCAAACTAACTGCTTACTTTCTTGTTCCTACCACGATGATTTTGAACGTATTTATTCATATATTTTTATCACTCTCATCACCCGTGGTTCTGGTGAAAGCTAACAAATACCTTCCAAGCCATTCAAAAGAGCTGTGGATCAGAAGCAACAGTTGTCTTCCCCGGGAAAACCGTCATTCCCACTGCGGAGCCTCCCTTTACACACCCAGACTTTGTGTCCATCAGTCACATACTCTCTTTAAGAGCGAGCATCATGAATGTATCACAGCTAAGCCCAATAACTCTCACCACGGAACAGTCAATGTTGTTAAGTAAACAAATACAAATACAACCTACTTTCTCCAAGTTTCTAAGTCACTGAAACAAAAGCATAAAATGCTCAAACAGCTCTCTCTCTCTCACATCAAGGCAATGTACTGATTTCAACTCTCACTGCAAGCTAGCAAAATACAATCAGGAACATACCAAGTTGGTCACAGCAAAATTAGCGGTTAACACTGCATGATTTCGACTGATTGACTGATCATCTTCAATTAGAATAGCACAGTTTTTCCTTCCAACGATGTACTCAGTGCCAGTCAAAAGTCTGTATGGTTCTAAGAGGAATAAAATAATGAGACACAAACACACATACATAAATGTGTACATTATATAGGATAAAATTCATGATGTGTCAAGAAAACACTTTGCTATTTCAATGTTCATCAGTTTTACATAAATTAAACTCCCATTTTCTATTAAACCCTTATTGAGGAATATCAAAAGATCACCTACATTAATGCAAGGGCATACCACTTCTCTCAAGGAATAACAACAGTGAAAGGAATTAATACTTTCCCAAAGTATACATTTACTGAAATCCCAAGTAAAGTCCCAATATGAACTTGACTGGAGCTTCCATCCATTAGTTCACTCCCCAAATGGCCACAACAAAAGAGCTGTGCCGATCTGAGACCAGGAGACAGGAGCTTCTTCCAGTTCTCTCATATTGAGTGCAGGGTCCCAAGGCTTTGGGTCATCCTGGACTGCTTTCCCAGGCCACAAGCAGGGAGCTGGATGGGCAGTGGAGCAGCTGGAATAAGGACCAGTGCCCATATGGGATGCCAGTGCTAACAGTAGAGGATTAGCCAGTTGAGCCATCACACCAGCCTCTATTCTTTGTTTGTAAATTTTTACCTTACTTTACTTATTTGGGGGACAGGGATACGCGTTCTGACTCACTGCCCAAACATCCAGGGTATCTGAGCCCTGGACTCAAGCTAGGTCTGCCCACAGGTGGCAGTAACTCAACTCTGAGCTGTGGCCAAGGGTGCACTTTAGCCAACAGCTGGGGATAGGCTGAACAGGACTCCCAGGCTAGCCCTGCTACACAGTGCCAAATGTCTGCCTGGTCTGAGCAGTGCTATCCCCGTAACAGATGGCTAAGTCTCAGCCTGTCAGCTACTCAGACCAGGTCCTGCAGGGCAAATGCCTTCTCACTGCACACTCAGACCAGGCCAACAGTGAGCTGCAACTAACCAATCCTGCTGTTTTGGAAGTCACCTCCTACCGTCTGCTGGACTGTTGGGTACTGCTCTCTCAACCTCCACTGGCTCGGGCCACACCTTGATTCATGAAGCCTTTCCTCAGGTATGCTGTGCCAAACTCAATTTGTCTCAGGTCTGTCTTCTTTCCACACATCCACAGGAACCCCGAGGGCCATGAGACAAACTGAAATCTTTATGGTCTGGCCTTGCACTGGTGCAAGTTCATAGGAATGCCTGTATTGGTATTTACAAAAGTCCTTCAGAGGTCAGATCATATTAATTCTCAGTTTGCAGTGCTGGCATTGCATGTGGACACTGGTTCAACCCCAAGCTGCTCCACTTCCCATCCAGCTCCCTGCTTCTGGCTGGGAAAGCAGTGGCGCATGACCCAACTTCCTGCACCCGTGTATCCACATTGTAGGGGAAATGAGAGGAAGCTTCTAGCTGCCAGCTTTGCACTGGTCCAGCTCTGGCCATGGAGGCCATCCCAAGAATGGAGGACTTCTCTGTCTTTCCTGCTCTCATTCAAGTGAAATAAAGAAATCTTTCTTTTTTTCTTTAATCCTCCTTACATAGCCAGTCAACACTGCCTCTTGGGAGACCCTTTTTTCCTAATCACAATGTGAACACCCTGAGCACACAGGCAATCATGGCTTTCCCGGCTTACCCTTTTATCAGCCAATAAGGACCACAAACAGCAGGCAGGCAACTAGCAACTTCCACTAGGGAAGTGCAGACACACAGGAAAGGGGCGGGGTGAAGTGGCCTGGCTTTTGCTGCAGCTCCCCTGGGACACCAGCATCCCAGGTTTGTGCAGGGGGTCCAGCCCAGCACCGCCAAGGCGCACTCTGACAGACAGCAACTGAGGCCCTTGCATCCCGGGGTTCCTGGCTTGGGCCTGACCAGCCCCAGTGTTGGACACATCTAGGCCAGTGAACTCGGAGATGCAAGATTCTGGTCTCTCTTTCAAAAAAAAAAGTCTGGGCTGTCCCCTCTTGCTGACAGCACGGAAACGCGCCTGAAACAACAGACAGCTGCTCCGTGCACCGGTTTCTCCTCAGCCACCTCAGCCAGGGCTCAGCGAAGGGCCAGCCGCCCCACCGCCCATGCCCACTGCACAGCGCCGGGGTCCCACGGCCACTGCACAGCGCGGGACAGGGCCCGGCGTCCACCCGCCCAACCCCGGGGCCGAGGACAGCCGGCCTTCCCCGCCACGGCGCAGCCGGGACCACCACGCGCGTGCCAGACCCCCGGTTTCCTTCCCGTTCCGCCGTGCCCCGGAAGGTAAGGGGACCCGACCGGAAGCGACCCTCCCCGACTTCCTTCCCCGCGTTGGCGCTCCTCCGAACCCGGGCCCTCTGTCCCTCTCTGTCCTTACCTCGGGCTGGGCCCGCGGCCGGGAGGAGCTTCCACATGGGCCCTGCTGCCGGCCGACGCGACCGGCGCCAGCCCGCCTGCCAGCCGCCCGAGCTGCGGGGCGAGCGCGCTCCCGGGCCGCGCGAGCCTCTGTGCTGCCGGCGGGATGCAGCGGGCGTGCGGCCAGGGCGCGGGGCCGCCACCTGCTGGGGAGCCAGGAACAGCGCTGTCTACAAGTTCACCAGGTACTTGTTGGCAAGAATTGCAGAGTCCCCTAAGAAAAAGCTCTGAGAAAAACTTTGCAGTGTTATTTGCTATACGTTTAATAAAATTAATGCAAAATCAATCAAGGAAAAGAAAAGATGTGTTTTGGCCAAGTATGTTTGGGGACCACTGGAATGTGATTCCAGTTGACTGCTGTCCAGTTTTGGTTTATGTCAACTCTTAAGAGTTAAGTCCAGCATGAAATTGTCTCCTACTAGACAAAATAATTGTGGTAAATAACTGACAAATTTGAAAAAAGGAAAAGAAACTGGATGCCTATGTTGTCGTAGTGCCACTTTGGTAGAGTCTAACTTCCGTGGGTTGCCTGGCAGAAGCCTGTTCAGAAGGCATTTTTTGGTATTGCCTTTTGTGCATTTTATTATGAAAATGCTGCAGTCATATTTAGTGAAAAAAGATCTGAATTATTGCTTATAATAGAAATAAAAGCAAGCATTGGTTGCTTAAACTGGTTTCTCATGTCCAACCAGAAAAAGAGAACTTTAGTTAAGGTAAGATAAGTAAATGCACACACATACACCATATATACTTTTTTGAGGGGGAGGGGTAGCTAAAAGGAAATCAATTGTATGTAATACTTTAATAAATTCCTAAAATATTTGACAACTGACATTTTGATTTTGGAAATTCAACTAAATCTAAAAGCATTGTAAAGTTACTATGGTTAAAAACGAATAAGAAATTTAAATTATCTCTGTTTTTTTTTAATAACATGTAGAGCTGCTATTTTACTACTTGGGGAATGGGAAGTGAAAATTGGACCCTGGAGAGTTTCTACATGCTTTCATCACTTCTCTTTTAGAGAATATTAAAACATCCAGTGTTAACTGGAGTAAAATAATTACTAAGTACCATCAGCAAGGAAAGTCTTGAGTTTGTTAGCTTTGTGACCTCCTGGAAGGAGAGATGTTGAGGGTGTTGAGAACAGTGCTTTTCCATGTGTCTGGTCTCTGATCCAAGTTATACGCACAAACAGAAGCTATGAGCTTTCAGGGCTCACACTGCTTTAAATGTATAATGTGACTTGCTGCCAGAACCAGATGTGTTGAGGAAAGAAAACAAAACCACCTCGTTTCTATAGCTATTAAAGTCAAGTTTACTGTTCTTTTTTTAACAAGTTTGTATTTTATTTTGCATAGCCACACATCTGCTTATTTAAAAAAAATACTTACCCTTTGGTAGTAATGGTTCAGTACAAGTGAGTATTACAGCTTAATGTCTCTGTGTTCTAATTCTAAGTGTTCTTTTATTCCAGGTCTTATAGAGCAGATAAGACATCTGTAAGGTCATTCTTTGAAATATATTGTAAAATAATAAAAAAGGTAACATAATTAAAAAAAAATTGCAGGAAGAGCAGGAGAGACAGACAAATGTTTCAGCTGCCCTGTGGTTCCCAAATGGCTCAAAGATCAGGGCTGGACCAGGCCCAAGTCAGGAACTTCATCAGGGTCTGCCTTGAGGGTGGTAGGGGCCCAAGCACTGGGGCCATCTTCCAGCTGCTTTGGAAAGATTTTTGTTGTTGTTTAAATTTGTCTCACCTGAGGACGTTTTTCATTGCTGCATTAAGATACTCCATGCATTTGGATTTCCTGAGTTGCAATGATTCATTTGTGTGGATCCCTAAGGAGAGTATTAGCAGTGAGGATGATGGTTTCATCCCAAAGTAACTCCTTGAGATTTTCTTTTTCAAATTCAAGTCAACTTATCCTTACTTCTCCGTTGCATATTATGCTTTTATCTAATTATACATGAAGTACGGATAGTCTGCCACTATGTCAATTTTTTCCTGTTTCAAGTTGGTTTAAGGTCTCCTAATGTATCATCATCTAACTGTAAGTCTCATCTTTTCTTCAAGCCAGGACACCTCCGACTACTTGAGAACACACGTGTGATGGTGCAATTTCTGCTTTTCTGAAAGAACTCGGAGGAGACCTGATAGAGGAGCTTGGGGAACATCTCCGTCAGGACACAGTCCCTGCAGGTAAGCACAAGAACCAGGGCAGGGAGCAGCCCAGCCCAGGCCCGATTACAGTACCCACCAGTATACCTGTGGCTCAGATATGGGGGCAGGCCAGGCTGGACCCGTTCTTGTCAGCCACTGGCAGATCTGAGAACCAGGACAGGGTGCAGGACAGGCCTAGTTGGGCTGTAACAGCAGCCAGTTCCCATTTAGGATTGTGACTGAGGGCTGGCTAGGCTAGGCTAGGCTGCAGTTCCCACCAGCATGAGCTGGAATTAGGCACAAAACATGCCAGGTCAGGCTGCAGCATCAGGTGACAAATGCCAAGGTGAGGCAGGCCATGCCATATCAGGCTGCCGCACCCGCCAGTACATGTGAGACCAGGGAGAGGTGGGTAAGCATGATAGAGTAGCAGCAGGGGTTTGTACTGGTGGAAGTGAGAACTGGGACTGAGGGCAGACCAGGCCAGACCAATACCCATAGGGCTGCATGTGAGCTGGGAAAGGCAGCAAGGCTGGGTGACTATAAACACTGTGCATGCATGAGTCAGAAGTAGTGCAGGCTGCCCAGGCTTTGCCACAGCGTCAGGGCTGGCAAATGCTGGGACTAGGGGCAACTCCTGTCAAGCTAGACTGCAGAACCACGAGGAGAGTGCAAGATCTCCCAGTAGGGAAACTGTGGGCTCCTCTCTAATGAGCTGTGACTCCCACGGGTAAGCATGAGAAGCAGGGCTGCAGGTGGGACTGTCTGGCCAAGCAGTGGCATCTACTGGAATGAATGTGGGCTGATAACAGTGTTTGTTGGGTTGAACTAGGCTAAAAGGCCCATTGATGTATACAAGAGCTGAATGGGATGGTGTCAGACAGGAGCAGTCTGCTGCACATACTGAGAATTACATTGATGGTTGTTTTGGGGGGTCACTCTGACTAGGCTACAGTTCCTGCTGGTATGTTTGAGGATCAAATGTGTAGTGGGCTGGGTTGGGCTGGACTGAAGCATCCATTTGGTTGTGTAAGAGATGGGCTTGACACAGAACTGACCCAGCGCAGCCTGATGTGTTGTCAGACTAAGCCAGACCCTGTACTGGCAAGCACACACAAGAGTCAGGCCTGGGTTCAGCAGAGACGAAGTTTCTGTGGGATTCACCCAACTGAACCACTGCACTCCGAATTCCAACCGTGTGTTGAATCCTAGGACCAGTGGACTGACTGTGGAGTGCAAGTATCAGAAGTGGGCCTCCACAATAGCTAAGGCAGAGTAGTGGATGGCATACCCAGATACACATGGAGGATATGCCAGTCCACTGGGAAGTGCAGTGGACATCTGCTACCACAGCAGAGGAAGGAGGGTGAAACAAACTGGACAACTAGCCCAGCCAAGTGTTGACAGCATATATCTGGGCGAATGGAAACTCTAAGGTGGACTGTGTCAGCCAGTGGTCCTTGGATGGATTTCCTCATCCTTGAGGCAACAAAACTAACAGCATTTCAAAACTATTGAAACCACTTGAGCACAACCTTCAGAGCATACTTCCCATTGGGACCCTGGTATGATATTGGGTGGCCATTCCCCACCCCAGGTACTGAGGCAGTTGGAAGGCTGAGTGCAGCTTCTCTTCTCATCTCCTCCCTTGCCCCCAGAGACAGGAGGAAGAAAAGGAAACTTGCAAACAATGATCTCACCCACTTTCCCCTAACCCTCAATCCTTCCCACCCCCAATCAACCCTGTAAACATCACCATTAAAAAAAATGCGATTTAGGGAGCCAGCACTTAGCATGGTGGCTAACATAGTGACCTCCCTTCCTACATCAGAGTGACTGTTTGCATGCTGGCTTCATCTCTTGAGTCAGACTTGCTGCCAGTGCAGACCCTGGGACAGAGTGATTATACACGGATTTTCCCTTCCTTCCTTTCTTTCTTTCTTTCTTTGGCATTGTTTTCATTTTGTTGTTGGGTATCTTCAGGTTTTTCTTCAGTGTTTTCTTAATTTTCGTTGCAAATCTCTTTTCATCCTTAAATTTGTTCCAGGGTGTATATGTATGTATGTATTTTTTGTGTGTATTTTTTTTTATTGTTGCTTACATTATATTATGTAGTACAGTTTTATAGGCGCTGGGGATCCCCCCCACCCCTCCCATACCCCTCCCCCATGGTGGATTCCTCCACCTTGCTGCATAACCATAGTTCAAGTTCAGTTGAGATTCATTGCTTGCAAACACATGCCTAGCATAAAGTTCAGCGTCTTATTGTCCAGATAAGTTCAGTGGCCTCTTGGGGAGACCTTCTATGGTCTGAAGATAGGTCTAATAGAGTAAAGATCCAGTCAGTTAAAAGCCCCAACAAGGCCTCAGTATCATTATACAACATTATGGAATTAATTGACATAGTACTGGGTAAACAATATGTTAAAAATAATGCAAGTTCCATTCTTCGAAACATCTGGGTTGAGACAGTATCAATGACAGGTTCAAAAAATAACAAACAACCAAACAAAAAATTACAGGTTAAATCAAGGCAAACATGTGGTATCTAATCTTTTGGGATTCGCTCATTTCCCTTAGCATTATAGTTTCCAGTTGGGCCCATTTAGCCACAAAGAACTGCATTTTGTTTTTTTTAATAGCTGAGTAGTATTCCATGGAGTAGATGAACCAAAGCTTTCTTATCCAATCTTCTGCTGATGGGCATTTCAGTTGCTTCCATGTTTTCGCAATTACTGATTGTGCTGCAATGAACATAGGGATGCATGTTGGTTTGTCGTAAAACAGGTGTTTTGGGTATATTCCTAGGAGTGCTATTGCTGGGTAATATGGTATGCAGATTTTGAGTTGTTTGAGTGTTCTCCAGACTGATTTCCATAAAGGCTGTACCAATTTGCAGCTCCACCAGCAGTGGAGTAGGGTTCCCTTTTCCCCGCATCCTCGCCAGCAAGCATCGTTGGTGTTCTTGTTTATGTGGGCCAATCTTACTGGTGTTAGGTGGTACCTCATCGATGTTTTAATTTGGATTTCCCTTATTGCTAGGGAGCTGGAACATTTTTTCATATGTTTGTTTGCCATTTGGACTTGTTCCTTTGTGAAATGTTTGCCCATTTCCCGTGCCCATTTCTTGAGTGGCTTGTTTGTTTTGGTTTTTTGGTTGTTTTGAAGTTCTTTGTATATCCTGGAAATTAGCCCCCTATCGCCTATATCGTGTGCAAAGATCTTCTCCCACTCTGTGGGTTGCTTTTTTACTTTGTTGATGGTTTCCCTTGCTGTACAGAAGCTTCTTAGTTTGATGAGGTCCCATTTGTTTATTCTGTTCTCAACTGCTATTGCTTTTGGTGTCCTTCTTAGAAAGTCGGTACCTACTCCTAGGTCTTGCAGGGTATTTCCTACATTTTCTTGCAAGAGTTTGAAGGTTTCTGGATGTAGGTTTAGGTCTTTTATCCATGTAGATTGGATCTTAGTGTATGGTGATAGATGTGGGTCTATCTTTTTGTTTCTACAGGCTATCAGCCAGTTGTCCCAACAACATTTACTAAAGAGGCCTTCCCACTTGCTTAAGCTGTCATTGGTCTTTTTGTCAAAGATTAATTGGCTGTATCTGTGTGGGTTCCCTTTTGGTGCTTCTATTCTATTCCATTGATCTTCCTTTCTGTCTTTGTGCCAGTACCAGGCTGTTTTGATAACCACTGCTCTATAGTATGTCCAGAGGTCCGGGATTGTGATTCCCCCTGCTAACTTCTTATTTTTCAGGATGGTTCTAGCTATTCGTGGTTTTTTGTGTTTCCAGATGAACTTTTGAATCATTGTATCCAGTTCCATGAAGAATGTTTTGGGCAATTTGATTGGAATTGCATTGAAAATGTATATTGCTTGTGATAGTATAGACATTTTAATGATATTGATTTTGCCTATCCAGGAGCACGGGATGTTATTCCATCTTTTGAGGTTTTGTTCAATTTCCTTTTTAAATGGTTTGTAGTTTTCTTCAAATAGGTCTCCTACACTTTTGGTTAGATTTATTCCCAAATACTTCATACTTCTCTCTGCTATTTTGAATGGTATCCTGTTGGTTAGATCTTCTTCCATCTTGGTGTTATTTGCGTACACTATGGCTGTTGATTTTCGTTCGTTAATTTTGTACCCCGCCACTCTGCCAAACTCTCGTATAAGTTCTAGCAGTTTCTGTATTGAGTCTCCTGGTTTTTCTATGTATAGGATTATGTCATCTGCATATAGTGAAAGCTTGACTTCTTCGTTTCCTATACGTATGCCTTTGGTTTCTTTTTCTTGTCTTATGGCCTCTGCAAGTACCTCTAGGACTATGTTGAATAGCAGTGGTGATAGTGGGCACCCTTGTCTTGTTCCAGATCTCAGTGGGAAGGGTTCTAGCTTTTCTCCATTCAGTATGATACTGGCGTTGGGTTTTTCATAAATTGCTTTAATTATGTTGTGGATTTTCCCATCTATGCCTACTTTGGCTAGAGTTTTTAGCATGAAGAGGTGTTGGATTTTGTCGAAAGCTTTTTCTGCATCTATTGAAACTATTATGTGGTTCTTGTTTTGCAGTTTTTGGATATGGTTTATAACATTTATGGATTTCCGAATGTTGAACCATCCCTGCCTTCCAGGGATGAATCCTACTTGATCCGGATGAATGATCTGTCTGATGATTTTTTGAATTCTATTGGCTAGGATTTTGTTGAGAATTTTAGCATCAATGTTCATCAGAGAAATAGGTCTGTAGTTTTCCTTCTCTGATGGTTCTCTATCCGGTTTTGGGATTAAGGTGATGTTGGCTTCATAGAATGAGTTTGGGAGGGTTGCTTCCTCCTCTATTGTTTTGAAGAGCTTGTAGAGGATTGGGGTTAGTTCTGTTCGGAATGTTTTGTAGAATTCTGTAGTGAAGCCGTCTGGGCCTGGGCTTTTTTTCGTTGGGAGATCCTTGATGACTGTTTCAATCTCTACCTCGGTTATGGGTTTAGAAATAGAAAAGTTCTTGGACTCCCACCATTTACCAAAACTCAGTCCGGAGGCAACTGCAGAATTAAATAAACCCAGTCAGTAATTGCAGAAGCATGGAAGCAACCGAGATGCCCATCAATAGAAGATTGGATAAGAAAGCTTTGGTTCATCTACTCCATGGAATACTACTCAGCTATTAAAAAAAACAAAATGCAGTTCTTTGTGGCTAAATGGGCACAACTGGAAACTATAATGCTAGGGGGAATGAGCGAATCCCAGAAGATTAGATACCACATGTTTGCCTTGATTTAACCTGTAATTTATTGTTTGGTTGTTTGTTATTTTTTGAACGTGTCATTGATGCTGTCTCAACCCAGATGTTTCGAAGAATGGAACTTGCGTTATTTTTAACATATTGTTTACCCAGTACTATGTCAATTAATTCCATAATGTTGTATATTGATACTGAGGCCTTGTTGGGGCTTTTAACCTACCGGATCTTTACTCTGTTAGACCTATCTTCGGACCATAGAAGGTCTCCCCAGGAGGCCACTGAACTTATCTGGACAATAAGACGCTGAACTTTATGCTAGGCATGTGTTTGCAAGCAATGAATCTCAACTGAACTTGAACTATGGTTATGCAGCAGGGTGGAGGAATCCACCATGGGGGGAGGGGTATGGGAGGGGTGGGGGGGATCCCCAGCGCCTATAAAACTGTACTACATAATACAGTGTAAGCAACAATAAAAAAAAAAAGTTTATTTTTATTTGGAAAGCAGAATTACATAGAAAGAAGGACAGACAGAGAGAGGTATTCCATTTGCTGGTTTACTCTTTACATGACTGCAGTGGCCAGAGCTGAGCTGAGCTGATTAGGAGCCAGGAGCGTCTTCTGGGTCTCCCATATGGATGCAGGGGCCCACGGACTTGGGTCATGCTTTATTGCTTTCCCAGGCCATAAGCAGGTAGCTGCATTGGAAGCGGAGCTGGTGTCAATACAGGATGCCGGTGCCACAGGCAGAGGCTTGCTTTACTATGCCACAGCACTGGCCCCTAAAAAAAATGAGTTCAGAACAGTTGCCTCTGAACTGCACATTTTGTACAGACCTTTGCTTTGTCCTCATTCCCTTGATGATACAATACAGCACAGCAGTTACCTACAGGTTGCCCAGGCCATTGTAGCAGGTATTGCTAGTCATTCTGGAGCTGGATTTAAAGTTTAGGGTGGGGACTGGTGCCATGGCAAATCAGGTTAAGCCTCTGCCTGCAGTGCCAGCATCCCGTATGGACTCCAGTTTAGCTGTTCCACTTCTGACCCAGCTTCCTGTTAATGCACCTGGGAAAGCAACAGAGGATGGTTCAAGTCCTTGGCCCCTGCACCTGCCTGGGAGACCCATAAGGGGGCTACTGACTGCCAGCTTGGACCAGCCCAGCTCCAGCCATTACAGCCATTTAGGGAGTCAACCATCAGTTGAGAGATCTCTGTCTTTCCTTCTCTCTAACTCTGCCTCACATAGAAAAATAAATAACTCTTAAAAAAAAAATAGATGGGTCCCGGCGGCGTGGTCTAGCAGCTAAAGTCCTAGCCTTGAACGCCCCAGGATCCCATATGGGTGCCGGTTCTAATCCCGGCAGCTCCACTTCCCATCCAGCTCTCTGCTCGTGTCCTGGGAAGGCAGTTGAGGATGGCCCAAAGCCTTGGGATCTTGCACCTATGTGGGATACCCAGAAGAAGTTCCTGGATCCTGGCTTCAGATTGGCATAGCATCGGCCTTTGCACTCACTTGGGGAGTGGATCATCAGACAGAAGATCTTCCTCTCTGTCTCTCCTCCTTTCTGTATATCTGACTTTCCAATAAATAAATCAATCTTAAAAAGAAAATAAATGAAGTATGTGGGTTTCATGCAAAGAACACATACATTTTATATGTAATGTGAGTGTTGGTGGATTTGGATTCTGGGAGCCCTCTCAACCGTAGACACCCAGGGGTGATGGTGTTGCCTGGGATGTCTGTCCTTAGTAACTCAGGAGACACTAAGACCTGGCAGAGGCTCTGTCCCCACCCAAGTGGGGACACCACAGCTGCCAACAGCAGTAGCCATGCAGTGTTGTCTGCTGGGGGCGGGGCCACACCACCTGGGCTGCCAGGTTTTGAAGGAAAGATGCAATTCAAACAGCCAATACAGGGATTGATTCCTTGTCTAGGCTTTTGCTCCGGGTGAAGAATTCCAGGGGCTGGGCCTGAGAGTGACTCTGGGGACATCCAGGGCAGCAAGCAGGAGAGGGGTGTATGGAAGGAGATATAAGGGGTGGTCCCAGAAGGGCAATGCTCGGGGGGCACTGCTGACCACAAGCTGCTTGTCTTTCAGGTCAATGAAATCTACCACGATGAGTCTTTGGGGGCCCACATCAACGTGGTGCTGGTGCGGATCATCCTGCTGAGCTGTGGGAAGGTGAGTGAATACCCGGAGCATGAATGCCACAGCCTCTGCCCCTCGGGATGCTGAGGCCATGTGTGGACACAACCGCCCTCTAGGGGACATGAATGTTGGAGGAAGGATGTGCAGTGTCATGAGGGGCCATGGGGCAGCTGGTGCTCGCCAGGAGGCCAGAGCATGGGCGGGCTAGCAGATAGGAACCGCCTACTGTGCAAAGTCCTGGGTACCCCAGGCTCCTTGAAGATTCCTCTGTGCATGGATTTCAAAGTGTTCTGCAGCAAAATGACCTTACATTCCACTCCTGTGAAAGAACCTTTTGAAGTGCCCTGACTTCTACTGGGTCTGATGTGCTGCTGGGTTTCGGGGGTCTCCTGCAGGGGTCCTGGAAGGAGAAGCTTCTGGGTCATAACTCTCATCCCTCCTCCCCGGGCAGCAAAAATATAGGCTCCAGAGGGCAGCTGCCTGCCCAAGATGGCACGATGGAGGAGCTGCTTTGTTGCACCTGCCTTCACACCCCTCACCTCCTCCTGCCCTGCCCCGATGTGCCTCCCACCCCAAGCCCTCCTAGGGCACATTTGACCTCTCAGGGGTGCTGCTGGCTGGCTGCTAGCACCTAGAGACCAAGGAGGTTGCTCCCCAGCCCAGAGAATGGCCTGCCCCCATGTCAGCAGTGCTGAGCCCGAGAGGAGGCTCTCTGTGGTAATCAGGTGCCGTTCTGTTCCTGCCTGAGTTAAGGCTGGCCTGACATGGGAGCCACATTCTGAGCCAGGGACATCCCGAGAGCTGTCGGTGGGATCAGGGTCATCTGTGTCTTCATCACCATCACATGGCATGCAGGGGACAGCCACATGCTCTAGGCTCAGCACTGGGCTGTGCCCATTTTTCAGATGAGTTGTGCAGGATATAGAGCTCACTTTTGCAGGAATACAGAGCAGATGAACACCTTGGACCAGACCTCCAATGACAGGGCCCTGTTACTGCCCAGGTGAGCTTCATCTGTCACCTGCCATGACCCTGGTTCAGCAGGAGTGTGGCGTGGGGGACTCACGGACATCCAGCCAACCAGGGCTGGCTGCCATTCTGGGGATTCCTTGCCTCGGGCTGCCCATTGGAACTGGCTCGTGAAGAACAAGGTCCTGGAGCACAGGTGTCCCATGGCAGCTGCAAATCCAGCCCCAGCATTGGGAAGTGCCCCTGGCCAAGTCATGCTGCCAGTGGTGTCATTTTTGTGCAGACAGCACCACCTGGTGGCTTTGTGGAGCTCTGTCCTCCTCGGATGCTGTGTAGTTCCAGGGGATTCCTCTGCCCAGCTGTGCGGCTCTGGGTGAGTTATTGCAGTGGCCTCAGTAGTCACGAATCTTCTTCTCAAAAGTTGGATGCTTGCAGCCCCTGGAGCCTCTGGTGACTGTAGAGTTGAAAGAAGGCATGCACTCGCAACACCAGAGCCCATGGATGGCACATGGAGTTAGCGACTGCCACTCCTGGAGTTAGTTCCTTTCCCTAGAGACCCGCTCCTCCATCCCCCTGCTACCTGCTGGGCCCTAAACCTTGTACATCTTTTTCCCTGCCTGGCTGCAGAATGTGCATCTATTTATTCATTCATTCATTCATTTCTTCTGTGAGCAGGCACAGACAGTGGTGGCTTCATTCGCTACTGCAGCCTCTATGCCCTGAGGGATTGCTCACTGTTTGTGGGATGGATGGATGAAGAGGGGCTAAAATGAATGTAAGGGTGGAGCAGGCCTGAGAGACAGACCCAGGCCCAAATTGCCCCTTTACTCTTCAGGAGGTTCAGCCAATTGAGAGAAGCCAGCAAGGAGGAAAGCCCTGTCGACCTTGGTACACCGTGTGGCCAGGGGACCTCACCCAGAATATGGGAGTGAGGGTGCAAGTCATGGCCAGGACCACTGGGGCCTTAAAGCTAGACAGGAACCACTTTGCCACCTGGGCCCACTGGAGTCACTCTAGCCCTGATTCCTGCCAGCTCTGCAGAGTTCTGTGGAGTCTCTCCCGACCCAAAAGCAAGGGGTCAGTGACTCTAAGGGGAGTGGATTGGGAGCCCCAAACAGCCTTGTAGCCAGTCGTGGACTGAGCAGGTAGTGAGCAGTGACCGCCAGCCAGGCCCCTGGTGCGGTTAACAAGGACCCCCTGAGGGAGGCCCTCCTGCACCTGGCAGGATCCTGGGCTCCAAGCAAGCCTGGCAGTAGAGCCAGGAAATGAAATGTGACTTCTAGTCAAGAGTTTTGGGTGGCAGAGTCACTGGGGTACCAGCGAAGTCCACATTGGTGCAGAGCAGGGAGAGGGAACAAACCTGTGTCCCTGGGCCCCCCTTGGAGGGCCCCACAAAGCCTGCTGGGAAGCTGGCTGTTCTTGTGACCCCAGACACAGTGGGTGTGGCAGAGAAGGCGGCGGGGGGAGGGTCAGTCCACAGGGATGCTCCTGCACTGCAGGCTGCTGGGCCCTCTGGAGTCGCCATGCTAGGGCTGGGTTCTGGGAGCTTCTGCCGTGTTCATGTCTGCCCCACCCCAGCCCCAGGACTTAGAGATCCTCGGGCACTCAGGAAACGGATCCCAGAGTGAGGAGCCGCCTACCTCCCACTGTTTACTGAATGGTGGGTGCCCAAGGCTCCCTCCGGGAAAGGGCTGCTGGACTGTGAACACCTGGAGTGGCTTGGGGCTCACCCCTGATCACCCCCTCTGCCCCAAGCCAGCGAAGCTGAGAGCAGGTGGAATCCACAGGCACACACTGCTGAAGTCAAGTGGGCAGCCTGGAGTCAGATGCCCTTGGGGCAGGGATGGCTGCTGGCCCGATGCGCCAGCCCAGCAGGCACCTCTCACAGGCTGCCACTTCAGAAGGCAGGCGTGATGAGAGCAAGGCGACACTTCTCTCACGTGCTAGATTTGCTTTCCAAGGATGCAATCATGCGTGGTCAACTGAAAGCTGGAAACAGGGGATGGGAAATTGCAAACAAGCTCTGCGCCGCTCTGCCGGGTGGTGGCATCTCACAGTAGCTGTGTGTTGCCTCTCCCAGGTCACAAAGCAGCCTTCTGACAGCGTGTCCCGGCTGAGTGCTAGCCACCCTTAGCCACTCAGGAGCCGCCTGCACCAGCTCAGATGTTGTCGTACCCCTGTGCTTACCCTCCAGTTATCACCGTCTTACTTAACAGTGGCCCTAAAGGGCAAGAGCACGAGAGCGACAAAGAGATAGCTCAGAGGTGGCAGAGAGAAGCCGACAAGCTCTACATGAAAAGGGGAAGTCATCACAGACACATAGGGAGAGGAAAACGTATTATGAGGCTACTGCAGAACACTGGTGAGGGACCAACCTTTGACTGGTGAGAAGATTGCCAATGAAGACTCCCACAGCTTACATCAGAGTGCCAGGGTGCAAGTTCTGGCTCCAGTTTCCTGCTGATGCACATGCCAGAAGGCAGCAGGTGGCACCTCATGTGGCTAGGCCCTGCCACCCACGTGGAGACCTGGACTGTGCTCCGGGCTCCAGGCCAGCCCAGCCCCAGCAGTAGCCAACATTTGGTGAATGAACCAGCAGATGGGGTGCTCTTTTTGCATACACTCTTACCTCTCTAAGTGAAATTCTAAAGAAATAGAAAATGGAATTAAAATTTTTCTTCTCTAGTGCTTTTCCTGTCCACAACCAGCCAGACCTCCATTATATGCCCCAGCTGTCCCGAGGTGGCTCGCCCTGGACTGCTGTCCCTGGGAGGACCTTGACATCCCGAGCAAGCACACAGCCAGCATCAGCAGCTCCCCAGAATTGGGAGGAGCAACGGGATGCAGGGCAGGCCCAACGCAAGAGGCAGAAAAGAATCATCCAGTGTCAAGTCTTAGGAACCAGGCTGCCCTAGGCCTTGGGACAGAGAAGCTGGACTGATGACCTCTGAGGGTTGTGCCCTAAAAAGCGGCAGAGCTGCCCAAAGCAAAGCTGCCAGCCTCTTGCCAAGCTAAGGATCTTTGTAGCAAAGACGACCCCATGACAGTGGCCCCTAGGTGCTGTGGCTCCAGCACCATCCTTACCGATCACCCACCCTCGTCCTGCACCTTCTCCTCAGTAATGCTGCCATGCCATCACTGCTCTATCAGAACAACTCTTAATTCTGGCCCCACTCAACTCTGCTTGAAAGCCAGAGTTACAGAAAGAGAAAGAGAGAGCGCTCTTTCTTCACTGGTTGATTCTTCAAATGGCCCCAAGAGACAGCTCTGGGTCAGGCTGAAACCAAGAGCTTTCTCTGGGTTTCACCCCATGGGTGCTGGGGCCTAGGCACTTGGGTCATCCTCTGTTGGTTCTCTTGGTGCCATTAGCAGGAAGCTAGATCATAAGTGGAGCAACTGGGACATTTATGGCCTTCCATATGGATCCCACAGCACAGGAGGTAATTTTAGGCACTATGCCATGACACTGGCAGCAAAAGCAACATTTCTAATGAGGGACTTGAACATTGTAGATTGTTGTATCTGCAGGGGTTTCTGGAACCTGTACCCTGTTGCACTGTGAGGCTGGGCCAAACAGCTGAAACACAGCTTCGAGGAGGATGGAGGATACAGCCAGGGTCAGGGCCAGCTGTGGATTTTGTTCTGTCCACAGAGTAAATTTTGGTCAGAGCCAACATTTGCTGTTGAGTAGGACCCAGAGTTAATGGCCGACTTGACCTGCCTTCTGTGCTTGGTGATGGGGTGTTGCTGGCGTTGTTCTCCAGTTTGCTGTGAGGTAACCTTGGTCCCCAGGGAGGAGGTGCTGGGAGACATGTAGGAAGCAGGGACCTCATCTGAGCTATGCAGAACAGACTTACCACTGTTCAGAATGATGGTAGACACTGACAGCGTCCATGGCTTGCTACAGCCCTCACTGCTGTCTGGTGCTGCCCTTCCTTATCCCACGGGGAGGACTCCTCAGGGCCCTGCCAGCACTCCTGGGCAGATATAGGGCTTCCTTCCTCACATCCAGCCTGCAACTTCTTCCCAGGTCCACAGGAAGCCCATTCACAGTGGATGAAGCTTCTGCTTGGCCCTAGCCTGCTGGCATTACCCCCTTGTGCCTGGCTCTGCCTTTGGCTGCATCCCCTGCCTGTTGGGCCTGATGTTGGAGTGTGTAGCCAGAGCTGTCCTCTCTTGGAGTGGGATATCACAGCTGGTCCGTTGGCTGGGGAACCCTGGTCCCCACAAAGGAGGAAGTACATGGCTCTGCTCTCATATCCACAAGGAATAACAACAGAACTCACAACCACCTCTTGTCACAAGAGAGATTTCTAAAAATATTTAGTATATTGATTTGAAAGGTAGAGTTACAGAGAGAGAGAGAGAAATCCTCAATTCGCTGGCTCCTTCCCCAAATGGCTGCAATGACTGAGGCTGGGCCAAACCAAACGCAGGCCTGGAATTTCATCTGGGTTTCCAATGTGGGTGATTGCCAGGGGCCCAAGTACTTAGGACATCTTCCACTGCTTTTCCCTGCACATTAGCAGGGAGATGGATCAGAAGTGGAGCAGTTGGGTCTTGAGCTCCACTATAGATGCCAACATTTACAAGTCATGCATTAACACATTGTACCCCCGTGCCAGTCACAGGAACTTCTTGAATGAGACCTGCTAGAAGCAGACAGTCTCTAAGAGAGTCTTGGTAACCCTACTTTTGAGAGCTTGTGGCCTGAAAGACTCCCCATCCCTGGGTTTGAACCAATTGAAATTAGGTTACACAGACAGTGGCTTTTGTCTTGAATGTGTGACCTCTTATTGTCTCCCTGGTCCATTGTGTTGGGAAGCAGATGGCCACATGGTACAGTCCCACTTGCCTGACCTGGCGAGGAGCCCTGGGTCCTGCTCATGGCCATGTGTGTAAGTCTGGATGCTGACCTGTGTCCCGCAGCAGCCACATGCTGGGCAGGCTTCAGGCTTGGCTGCATGCAGGTACTTGGGTGAGGATTCAGGGAATGAATTTCCCTCTGACCTAGGCACTGCCAGTGTGGCCTGGATGCTGCTGTGGCTCAGATGTGGTTGTTGCCCGAGACTTTGGGTGTTGGGAGTCTCAGGAGGTGGTGATGGCCCTTGTGGCAAGGTTCTTGGCGATGGTCACAGGAGAGATTCAGTAGATTGTCATGGTTGCTGCCAGTTCTCACAAGAGGCCAGAGGGGTGTTAGAAACAGGGCAGACCTGGCCCTCCCTTGCTCTGGAGTCTGTTTCAAGATGTGACTTACATGCCTCGCTCCCCCTCCCAGGCCCCATCACATATAGATGAAACTATTTTCAGTTTGTACCTGGCTGAATCTGCAGATGTGGAGGGTAGGCTTTGCTTTGTGGTGATATCAGAGCAGACTTAAAAAAAAAAAATGGGTGAGGGCCCAGTGTGGTTGCCTAGCGGCTAAATTTATCACCTTGAACGTGCCAGGATCCCATATGGGTGCCATTTCTAATCCTGTCAGCTCCACCCCCTATCCAGCTCCCTACTTGTGGCCTGGGAAAGCAGTCAAGGATAGGCCAAAGCCTTGGGACCCTGCACCCACGTGAGAGACCCAGAAGGAGCTCCAGGCTCCTGGTTTTGGGTCAGCATAGCTCTAGCTCTTATGGTCACTTGGGGAGTGAATCATCGGATGGAAGATCTTCTCTTCTGTCTCTCCTCCTCTCTGTATATCTGACTTTGCAGTAAAAATAAGTAAATCTTAAAAAAAAAAATAGATGAGCAAATGGAGTTAAAAGATTGGCTGGGGCAGATGTCTGGCCTAGATACCTACATCCCATATCAGGGCACCTAGGTTGGTTTCCTGCGTCTGGCTCCCAGCTGCAGCTTCCTCCCATTGAGGACCCGGGGAATTAGCACAGCACAGCTCCCCTGCTTGGGACCCTGTCATCCATGTGGGAGACCCAACTGGCACCCCTGTTGCTGCCAATTGGGGAGTGAACCAGCTGATTGGGGACAGGCGATAAGAGCAGAAATCAAAATACCTGGGATGGAGAAGCACCTCCTCCCTTCTGAGACAGCCTGGCATGTGCTCTAGAGAGTGTTTCAGACAGTGGACAGAGGAAGAGTTGGGTTTCTGGCATCCTGGTTCTTAGTTCAGTTTCTCCCTGTCTGTACGCCCTTGGGGACAAGGCTACTTGTCTGAGCCTCGGCTGCCTGTCTCTCACGTGAGTGGGAGCTGAATGAGAGTGTGGGCCAGTGCTCCACTGTGCAGGGCAGGTGCACAGGCCTGGGAATGGGGGAGGAGTCCATGGCCAGCCTCAGCCACCTGGGGTGGGACCGTCTCAGGGGCTTGCTATTTGTAAGTCCCTGTGGGAATCACCAGTACACGGCCGGCCCGTGGTTCTGTCATGTGTAGCTCCTTTTACCGTGTTTGTTTTGTGCCTTGTAAATGCCTTTAAATGGGGGTGAGGCAAGGCCTTTGCCCCCTTCCTCCGGGCTTGCAGGTCTGACTGTGCCTTCCGGTTCCCTGCACCTACATCCTACCTAGGGCCCACTCAGTACAGGGGTCTGATACAACTCAGGCCCTCCTGTACCTGGAGGAAGGTGAAGGGACTGTGTGAGACAGCTTAGGAGTTTGGCCTCCGTGTCTTCCCTGAGAACCCAGCAGGGACTTCGTGTGAAGGTGCTGGGAAACCCGTCCTTATTCAGGAGAGTGCAGCCCAGCGGGAGGCCTGTCCTGAGCTGCTAGAGCCAGGACAGAGAGCCTTGTCTCTCCAACCCCAGTGGCCACACCATTCCCTCCTCTCTCCTTCCCCTTTCCCTGCAGTCCATGAGCCTCATTGAGATCGGGAACCCTTCCCAGAGCCTGGAGAATGTCTGCCACTGGGCCTACCTGCAGCAGAAGCCAGACACAGACCACGACGAGTACCACGATCATGCCATTTTCCTCACTCGGCAGGACTTCGGGCTGTCAGGCATACAAGGTGAGCTGCCCTCAGGTGAGGAATCGGGGGGGCAAGTGCAGTGGGAGGAGCGTGGTGGAGGAGCCATTGGCTTTGCCAGATGTATCAGTGCACTTGGCCCATCCCAGGAAGGAGTGTCCAGTGAGGGCCTCTAGGCCAGTGTTGGCAATCCCACCACACCCCAGGGGTGGTGAAATGGGAAGGGACTGGGCCAAGCATCCAAGACCAGATTGGGTTTCTTCATGTGTATTTGGAGATTTCAGGAAAACAGATTTGAATACATTTCCAACCCTTGCAAATTGAACATGCGTGGACTCTGACTGATGGTCAAAAGTTTATTAGTGGCATCAGACTTTATACACTGAGGGTCATATGGGATAAGGGAGGGAGTATTGAGCTTATCAACAAACCCATCAACCGTTTCTATACTTTTGTTTGGAACTCCTTTTGTTTTGTATATTCCACCAAGGGTTCTCATTCACATCTGTCCACTCAACTCATATAAATGATATCCAATCAGTTATACAAAAGGTATCCATTCGGTTGTTATCATACAACTATTATTCAATCAATTGTAGTCCTGTGCTCGCTGACCTTCCAGGGTCATAATGTCCTTCTACAGAAAGTCATGCATACATGGAGGGACAGAGACAGAGGGGGGAGACCTTCCATCCACTGGTTCACTCCCCAAGTGGCCACAATGGCCAGAACTGAGTCAGTCTGAAACCAGAAACCAGGAGCTTCTTTTAGGTCTCCAACACAGGTGCAAGATCCCAAGGCTTTGGGCTGTCCTCAACTGTTTTCCCAGGCCACAAGCAGGGAGCTAGATAGGAAGCAGGGCTGCCAGGATTAGAACTGGCACCCATATGGGATCCCGGGCGTGCAAGGTGAGACCTTAAGCCACTGAGCTACCACACTGGGCTTAAACAGGCTCATTTTTAACAAGCAGGCTTCCGGCTCTGGAGGTGGGGATAAAGTGGTCAAACTTGTCCTTTGGTAACAAAGTGACACCCCTGAAAGGACCAGGAACCCCCGGCTGGAGGCAGAGCCTCATGGCCCAAACATCTTGTCAGGCTCCCACCTGTCAGTGTGGGCATGCTGGGGCATGGGGGACAGTCAGATTCCAACAGTGGAACACATTCAAACCAGAGCAAGAGGCTTTCCTGCCTGCACCTGCTTGCCTAACAAGAAAAGGCAAGGAGAGAAGGCATGGGGAAGGTCGGGCTGGGCTGAGAGAAGAGCAAGGACCTGGGCTGCACCCCGCCCAGCAGGGCCTCAGGGTCCCTGGGACTCTCAGCTGCAGCCAGCAGCACAGAGCTCAGGCCTTGGACACCACTGGGCTGCCTTCTCCCAGCCAAGGGGTCATGAGTATGCCCGCCTGTCTTGGTCTCTGGTGTTCCATTCCACTTGTGCCTACTCAACATTTTGTTTTGTTTTTAATTCTCCACTGGAGCAAAAGTCTGCATGCACACAGGCAACCTGGAGAGAAGTGAAAAACATCCACAAATGAGCTGTCTCCCTCCCCCGCCCTTAACTGGGGCAGCTTGCTCCTGTCTGCTCTGCTGCAGCAAGGGGCTGGGAGGATGGCAGGGCTGGGGTGGGGGGTGGGAGTGGGGTGTCATCCATGCCCTTGAGGTTCAGAGCCAGGGACTGCACCAGTGCAGAGACCCATTGGGGACAGAGGCACTGCATTTGCACACCCTGTGTGCCTTCTACTGCTAGCAGGCACCAATGGAACAGAGGTTCTTGTCTTCCTGTAAGAGAGAAAGACGTGAGGCAGAAGTAGTGAGGTGTAGTGGGGTAGGACATCCATCAGCACTGGTGGGCCCTGCTCAGGGTGGATCTGAGAGGCAGACAGGGAGAGAGGGAGGGAGTGAGAGCAGCCACTCAGACCATGGAGAGCAAGGTCACAGCTTGATGGAGCATGTGGACCTGACGGGCCAGGCAGCCAGGCTGGCAGCTCAGGAAGGCACCAAGCTCACAGGGAGCATTGGGGCTGCAGCTTAGCTGTGAACAGAGATGCAGATCTTGCTGCCAGGGTTCCTGACAGGGTCCCCTTAGTGTGGGTGCTGTAAGCCAGCAGGCACAGGAACCCTCCTTCCCAGCTCCCGGCTAATGCCATGCCACCTCCCTCCAGCCAAGGAACGTTGTCACCTCTACTGCGAGTCCAAGGAGACCGGGGAGGTGGTGTCCATGAAGCGCATGGTGCACGACGGCACACGCTGCTCCTACAAGGACGCCTTCAGCCTTTGCGTGCGCGGGGACTGCAGGGTGAGTACCCTGCGGTCAGGGTGGGCTGGCCTCAGGGAGTTGAGCTCAAGGTCATGACTGGGAGTGTGCATTTGCCTGAGCACCCGGGTGTCCAGCCAGGCTCAACCTGCACCAGGGCAGGGCTGTGTACAGGAGCACAGTGGGAGGCAGTGGGGTTGGCTGGATACAGGGGTAAGGAAGAGCCTGGACCAGGTTCTGTGTCTGGAGAACCTGGGCCACGGTCTCTACCCCCAGCCCTCAAAAAACTGCAAAACTAAGCAGGCACCCTTTTGGGATCCTTTAAATAATACTTTAGAAAAGGTAGGAGGCTGTATTGTGGGATGCCAAGCCCTGGCCTGGCTGAGAGCTGGGGAAACTGGCTGGATGTACGTGGGTCAGGTGAGTCAGATAAAGACAGTGTTGGGCTATATACTTAAGAGGGGTTGCTTTGCATGTGGAAAGTGTGTTCATGAGAAGAATGTTAAGATGTCTAAACGGCAAAGTGCAGGCCAAGGGACACACACACACACACACACACACACACACACACACACACACACTCTCTCTCTCTCTCTCTCTCTCTCTCTCTCTCTCTCTCTCTCTCTCTCTCTCTCTCTCAGTGCAGGCCCCCAGTAGGGGGCGCTGTTAGCAGTAGAAGCAGCTGTCCATGGTTCTGAACCTGGGTGTGCTAATTCACCATCTCATGGGCATGACTGCAACCTCACCTCTGATCCGGACAACAGAAGCAGAGGAGGTCAAATGTCCTAATACCCTCTTGGGAACCTAACACGGGTGAACACCAGGTAGCTGTTGGGGGATCATCTAAACCCAATGGCTTTAAACAGGGCCTGTGGCATCTGCGGATTATATTTCTGTGCTGTCCCCCACAAAGATGTACCATGAAAGTCATAATACAGGAAGCAGAATGCATCAGGAAGGCCGTGTGAGAAGGTTACCATGATCCCCGGCAGGTCACAGAAAGATGGAGAGAGAAGAGGTGTGCCGACCTGCCCCAGGTGTGGCACACACAGCAGTGGCTTGGTGAAGCAGGCATGAGCGAGGCCGACAGGGTCCATGCTTCGGTGAATTCAGAACGCATCACCGCATGCAGGTTGTAAAACCTCTGTACAGTAGGGAGGGGCTGATGGACAGGACTGTATCACAGACAGAAAAGCCAGACCTCGTTAGCTCCCCACTGCCCCCAACCCTACCCCCAGGGGATAGTCACCCACTAGCACTGCAACATCTTCCACCCCAGTTATTCTCTGCACCATCAGCCCTTTCAGAATTAAAGGGAAGAGCTGGTAGGCTAGCAGCAACATTTACCCTTCACAGCCTCATCTGCCTGGTGTTCCTGCCTACCTGAGTGAGGCCAGCTGCATGATGCTGGATGTTGAATGGCACCTGCATCATCAGGGGCTTTTCCAAGGATGAGATGTTGTCCCTGGGGCCCCTGAGAGGGCTGCATTGCCTGGCAAGAGCAACGCCAGTAACTGCCTTATCTGTTGCCAGACAATATCCCTCCAAACTTCCAGAAAAAGGGATGCCAGGCTGCTGCTGCAGCTTGCCAGCACTGCTGGACCCAGAGCTTGGCTGTTCTCTGTCCCTTGTGACCCACTCTGTGCCTCTCAGCAGGAAACCCCAGAACCACTGTGGCTTCTCATAGCATGCTGTACTTCCCTTCCCTCCTCTTCCCCATCTTCTTGCAGCCTGTCCAGTTGCCTGGTAGGACCCTTGTTAGAAAGAGCTCACAATTCCAGGCATAATTCATAAGCCAGACTCTGTGTGCACACCAGGATGCACCATCTTGACAGCTGCCAAGAATTCTACCCAAACACGAGTTCCCAAGATCTGCAGGGTAATGTCTGGGGCCAGGTCCTCGCCAGCCAGCTACCCTGTGCTTAGAGAGCAACATCAGGTCCATTGCTGTTACAAACAGTGTTTAGGGAGCACACTGTGGGGGTGCACAGACAGGGGTGATGCCTGTGCTCCCAGGCTGGGCCCACCATGCTGCCTCCTTTTGGTAGATGGGTTTTTCTCTAGAACCACCCATGTGAACACAAGCGTGCTCCTTGTACGGAATGCTTTTACCCTGCTCACTTCCAAAAGTGAATGAAAAAGCTGAAAACCAAAGATTGCGAACTTGAGCCCCTACAGAGGAGCTGCTCTTAGCTTTATCAGGGTCTAGAGCCCCCCTACCCGCCGTGGTCCTGGTAAGACCAGCACCAGAACACACAGTGCCAGGAGGAAGAGTTTCTCCTAATTGGTCAGGAAGATTGCTAAGGGAGAATTAGCACCGAGCTTCCTGGCAGCCAAGAGGAAGGGCGGAATCTGTGATGCCATCAAGCACTCTGAGGGTGGTCAGTGGGCACAGACTAGCCCCAAAGAGGGATTTTCCTTGTTGAGCCTAGCAGTGGACACTGCTAGGACCATGGAAAATCAAATCACTTCAGTATGCTGTTGCCTCCCCCAGGTGGCCTGGAGCAGAGCATCGCCTTTCCTCTGGACAGAATAATTCTAGTGTAGGTGTGGCGGTGTTGAGTGGACTGGCCAGGGAGTGGACCTTAGGGTAGGAGCCTCTGAAGCCAGGCCTCTGCTGCACAGTGCCAGAGCAAGGGTGTCCCCTGAAGGCCTGCTGTGTCCTAACCCTTGGACCTCTGGGCCTGCAAGGGGGCATCATTCAGGTCACACTCCCGGAAGACGGCTAGCAGGCTTTGTCTTCCTCCTGAAACCAGAGCCTGATTTTCTCCCCCTGATAGTGGGCAAAGGGGTAACTGGTGCCAGGTCACAGGCAGGTGCTAGGGCGAGGAGAGGGTGTGCAGGTTACTCACAGCCTGCTTCCCCTGCAGAAGGTGGGCTGCGATGGGGTGATCGGCTCCAGCAAGCAGGAGGACAAGTGTGGTGTGTGCGGAGGAGACACACGCGGTGCAAGGTGGTTAAGGGCACGTTCACATGCTCCCCCAAGAGGCACGGTGAGTCCCGCCCCTGGGTCAGTCCTGTCCTGGCAGAGGTGGGGGAGTGGGGAGCAGAGGGAGAGGGCCCCAGGTGACAGGGCAGAGAACAGACCTTAGGAAGCTCTACTGGAGTTCTGTCTTGCAGCAGGCTCCTCCCCAGCTGGCTTTCAGCAGCACTTCCCTGGGCTGCTAGGTGACCTGGAAGCATGGAAGGTCTGACTTCTCTGGCGCCTTGGGTGGGGCTAGGTGCTACAGGTCCCTCGCCAGGGGAGATAGGCTCTGGGGTGGGTTTCTGTCTTTGTCTCTTGCATTGTTGTCACCACTGTCCAGACTTGGGCACCATGTGAGTGAAGAAGTTTATTTGGATGTGACCTGGGTTCCTACCGGGCCTAGACCACATGAGGTGGAAAGGGTGGCACTGAGTGGTAGAGGGCCCCCAGGCCCTGACCTGACTGACTCCCACCAGGTCCCTGTAGGTCCCACTACTTCCTAACTACCACCACCACCAGCAGCAGCACACAGGGCCCTTCCAGATGTGCTCAAACCACACTCATGCCTGGGGCTGTGCCTCCACCAGGCCTCAGCTCTTTGCACAGGCCAGCAGCTACCAACTGCATCCCTCTGGGCCTCTGTCAGCCCACCTCTGAAATGGGGAGAAGCCACTTTAGTTGACCTCTTTGAGAATAAAGTGATAGAGTGACCACGTGGACCTCATCCTGTACCCGGTGCTGGTCCAGGTCCTAAAGACAGGGGCTGTGGGCTGGCTTTAGTACAGCCCTACCAGAGGTTGGATGTCTGATGACACGTGCAGAGCAAGTGGCTGAGAATTACACAGGTCAAGTGGAGTACCCAGAGCCTCCCTCCTAAACATGGCAGCTCTGAATCCCCGCCTGGAGGAATGCAGCCTGGACTCCCCACTGTTTCCAGTGGAATAGGCCAGTGGGGTATCTGGGTCTGAAGACAAGCAGAGGGGCCGGAGCCACTCTTCCTTTGGCCCGTCTCCTGGTGGGTGGTCAGAGCCCACAGTGGGTGGGTGGGGCTTGCCGACTTCTCACTGGGCCTTGTCCTCCTGCACTTGCACCAAGGCTACATCAAGATGTTTGAGATCCCTGCGGGAGCCAGGCACCTGCTCATCCAGGAGGCAGACGCCACCAGCCACCACCTGGGTGAGTCTCGGGTTCTAGACAGCTCAGCCTGTGGAGGAAGCATAGTGTGGGGACCAGCTGAGTGGTGCATCGCAGACCCAGGCAGCCCTGCTCACCTGCTGGGGCCTCTGCCTTCAACGAGGCCAGGATCTGGGACCTGAGTGTCAAGGCGCGAAGGCATGGAGAGCTCCTCATGGCACACACAGCAGTCCCAGGGAGCCAAGCCAGCCTGGGGAGAGCTTCCATGCTCTACTCTGGTTGTCACTCGTTTCCTTTTAAATTCCGAAGATTCTGGCTTCAGCGGGCTTCCTGGCACTATGGATAGCATGGCTGTTTCAACAACGGCTTTAACAACCTCCCCCATGCCAATCCTGCCTGTGAGCTGGTGTACTCCACCTCAGTGGGGCCTCCTCCCTCAACCCCCAACCAAGTCTTAGTCCCTCTCTTATCCCTACTGCCCTGGGCCAGGGTCTTCCAAACTGTGACCTTGAATCAATCCCTCCCCCCCCCACACACACACATCCCCAAATAAAACAAGCAGCTCTCAGCACCTGAGCGTCCGGGTCAGCCACTCGAATGCTTAATGTTACATCATTTTTGTGTCAAGAAAAGACTTGTTTGCTTAAGTTTTCACTAACAAAAGGCTTCTGTATTATTGCAGTTTCCAGGTATTTTCATTTTTTAAAACAGAATATGGTGGAAAGCGGGCTGCTGGCACTGTTCCCTTTTTTGAGGGCCTGAGGCTGTCTGCACACTTTCTAAACAATGGCGTCTACAGCGCCACGAGTATCTCTGTGCCTTTGTTGTCTGTATGGGGTCACTGGGTCAGGGAGCATGGACGTTCGGGGGTTCTGCTGCCTCTCCAAGGCCTCGCCAGCAGGCACCATCCCTGAGCCCTGGGTGTGAGAGCCGCAGTCAAAGGGCTTGCTTTCCTGTTCTTCCCAACACAGCCCTCTGAGAGCCGCTGGCTGAAGTGTCTGCACAAGGACTCCCCGGAACTGGAGCTGGGAGGAGGAGTGTGTTTCCATGGACAGTCCTCATCCGACATGGAGGAGTCAGACCCTCCCTTCAGTCAGGAGCTGCCCAGCAAAAGGTGCCAGGCTGTACCCAGTGCCCTGCAGGAGGCTCAGGTGGGGACTGATGAGACAGGCGCTGCTTGCTGACACAGGGATGCTTGCTGAACTCTGTGAGCAGCTCACACGGTGACGTCAAGGGGTAGGGGCTTAGGGGTGTTGACCGGGGCAGGAGGTTTACAGTGGCGAAGCAGATACTGCAGACTGCACAGGAGCTCAGCTCTGCAGACAGTGCCTGAGGTGCCATGGGAGATAGATGGACCAGCCGTGGGGCAGAACTGCCTGGCAAGCACAAGACAGCCCATCTGCCATTGGGCTGCAGCTGAGTGGCTGCATGGAGGCTCCCTACCTCCTGTGGCCAGCCAGGTTGCCAGGGAGGCTGCGGGGCACTGTGCTGGCAGGACTGGACTATTGACAGCACTTTCCTCCCACCAGGAAATGGAGCCCGAGTCGGCCCAGCTGTTGCACAAACGTGACATCCCAGACTTGGGCACTCCCAGGGGCACCTGGCCACCCCAGAAGGTTGGTGATAGGGAATATTGCTTCCACTTTGGTCCCAGTGATCACCAAGCACACACAGAACTGTTGAAGTATGGGCTTTTTACCCCCCAAAGCTCAGCTTCCTGTTCTTGCCTGTGTGGAGCCAACTCCTTCCTCTGCCTGCTCCCTTCGCTCCCTGCTCATCTCATGAAATTAACTCTCAGCCAAAAGGGCATCGTGACACCCTGAGGTCCACTGAGGTTGGCCTGGCCTCTCTGCACACCATGCCACCCTTGCCCTCTCCAGGCTCATGCTCCCTTGCTGAAGGCATTCAGTCACTTGGGGTGTGTTCCTGCTCCCAGGAACCCAACAGGCCCCACTGCACATTTAGTGCTGCAAAACTCAGACCTTGCTTTATGTTGTCATCAGCGTGTAAAGAGCCCCGCCAGAGGCCTGCTGACAGGGGTCACCTCAGCATAGTTCTGCCACGGCCAACATCGCCTCATGCAGGCCTCCAGCTTGAAGCCAGGAGGCTAAGGTCAGATTCTGGTGTGGTCAGGAGTAGCTTTGAGACCTAAGTCAGCTCGTGGCTCAGAATCTCCCGGTGACAGCAGAACCTTGCAGTTCCTGTGTGTGATGTTCTTGTCAAGCCTGTTTTGTCTTGCCCTCTTTCCCATTGTCTGGGGTGCAGAGTTGCAGCGACCTACTCTGAGGTCCTGTGAAGTGGTAAGCCTAACTGTCAGGGCATCTTTGGTTGCTAAGCAGAAGCCAGTCCCCAGCAGCACGGGGAGCCTGGCACAGCCCCTTGCAAAGTCCAGGTCTGAGGTGCTGTTTGCCAGGGAGGGAGCAGGTGAGGGGAGTCGGCCTCAGTCCATTCCCCAGTGGTCTCTAGGGCCTGTCTACTCCCACCTCTGTGCAGACACCCTGAGCTGACCCTCAGGAGCTGGGCCACCTGGAGCCTGGTCATGGAAACAGAGGACTGGGATGAAATGGCATTTACTCACTGTGCTTTGCCGACTTCACTGCCAAGCCTGTGGACTGGCAAGCAGCACTGTGGAAAAGTCTCATCTGGGAAACGAGCCCCAGCAGGCAACAGGACACAGCTGTCTCCTCTGATTGGTTTCAGGACTCTCCTGGCCTGAACGTGAAGGTGAAGGAAGGCGGCAGTCACTGCCTCTGGAACCATGAGGACCCACGACCCCAGGGGCTCCGTGTTGCTCATGGGGAACTGCCGAGTCCAGCCTGTCAGGCTGAGGCCACATCTTCTACATGGGTAAGATTTCTCCCATCTCCCGTGAACAGCTCCCAGGTGGACACAGAGCAGAGGGGACTCAGACCAGCAGGTCCAGCAGAGGCTGAGCAAGGAACCCCATGGGCCCCCACCCCGAGGGAGAGCTGGGAAGCAGCCACTGTCCAGCTTCCTCAGGTCATACAGCCTCCCAGGCCTGGTTCTGAGGGACCCTTCAGGAGGATCCCTGAGCAGCAGAGGGGCACGGGGCCTCCCCAGGTGCCAGGGACACAGAAGCCTGCAGCCCTGCGGCTCTCTGACCTCTTTACAACAGGAGAGGACTTCAGTGATGACCTGTGAGCAGAGGCCAGCTTGTCACTGATGCAGATGAGGGTGGTGCAGGAGTGCCTCTGCAGTTCCCCCTGGTGTTAATGTGTGAAAAACCCCGAAAGCTGACAATAAACACAGGACAGTGATGACTAAATGCTCATTGCATTTAATCACACACTGCTTACAAATATAACAGCAGGGGCGCTACACATGAGAGGCATCGTAGTGATGAGCTGGAGGCAGCTGCCAGAGGACACTTGCACCTCGCACTTGCCCTTGGGAGCCGCTCTCCCTCCAAGTGTGAGACTTCTGGCTTGCTGTAGGACAGCCCTCCCTCAATCTAGCAGGTTTCTAGCAGTAAATCAACTAGCTGTTTAGAAATGAGAAAGCAGAGGCCATTAGGCAGGGTGTATTCTGGACTGCTGGCGTGAGGCTGGCAGGGGAGCCCAGTGCGCCGCTGTGTATCACCTGCACCCTGCTGGGCAACAGCAAGTCCTTCCTGGGCCACAACAGCTCTCAGAGTAGATGGCTGTTTGGCATCAAGCATATACACATGGAACTCACCAGTGACACTGTGCTGCTGCCCTAAGAGGCCTCATGCATGCCCGCCCCCCAGATTCTGGAGAAGAATGCAGAAAATCTAGCCCTTATGGAGCCCCTGCTATTCTGACTAGCTCAATGTGATTATGTGACAGAGAAGGAGATTTGAAGGAGATTTGGGCAGCAGACATTGTCACAGTGGTGGCGGGTGCTTCGAATACTGGATGGTGTCCAGGGCAGCCCCGATGTCGTAGTTCTTGGTCTGCAGGAGCCTGGTGAGCCAACCACCTTCATCAGAGAAGCCCATGGACAGCATCTGAGACAAGGACTCGGTCAGCCGGGGCTCAGCCACTGCCAAAAACAGTAACAGGAGACATGAGCGTGAGCAGGCCCATGGGTGGGGCTGACTCAAGACCCAGCAGCACCTTGGCGTTTACCCAGCAAGTACCCAGTGCCAACAGTTCCAGACACCCCTAACCTGCAGGGGTCCTCAGAAAGCTGCCCCTGAAGATGCAGAGAGCATCCCAGGCTGACCTGGCAGACCCTACAGGCTCACTGCTCCTTAAGTGCCAGGAACAAGGAAGCAAATGAGCACAGTCATGTTCCAATAAACTTTATGGACATGGTTTCCTCTGCTCCAGTCTCCTGACAGCATCCTGCAGGACCCTGACCAGGGCTGAGCCTGTACACCCATGCCACTTGTTTATCTTTCATTCAGAGGAGCAGTGGACATCTGCCTACCTGGCCGTCAAGCCTGTCAGCCATGCTCAGCCCCCTCCTGGCTCTTTCTGACCTGTCCTGAGTTCTGCCCAGTCCTGACAGCCTCCCCACATGCATGCCCCTGTCCTGGGATGCTCCCACACAGCAGGGACAGCCACGGTGCCTCCAGAGAGCTGGGCTGGGTAGCTGTGTGTCCACCCTGAGGTCCGGACAGCTTGCCTGCCATGCATTTCTTACCCAAGACAGTGTGGCCTTGCTCAGGAACCACAGCAGGGGACAGGGCGTCCTGACCAGGCTAGATCCCAACGTGTGGCCTTAAACAAGCCAGGTTACCTGGGCCGCTGCACACACGGCCACAGCGGACCCCTCCTGGCTCTCCTGAGACTCCATCCTTTGGTCTCATTCTTCGTGGCCAGGACAAGCACACCATCCCTCCAATTGGATACATAAAGGGGCTCCTTGCCCATGGAGTCCGAAAAGATAGCCCGGCACCTTCCATGTGCAGAGCCTAATGCGAGGGAGGGCCTGAGGCCTGAGGGGAGCTCCTTGACTTGCCAGGGTACCTGCTGGGGCACGCTCTATCCTCCTGGAGGGTCTGCCATAACTATGAGTGGTCTCGATGTCTGACCCCTTCCCCACACAGATGTCTGGACAATGTGGTCAATGAGCAGAGTACTTCCCCACCAGTGCCACACCTCCATGCCTTGCTGACCAGTGGAGACGAGCCTCCCACACAGACAGACATCTTTGACCTCCTCAAAGCCTCCTATGAGGTCAGCACTCAGTGGGGAGGTGTGGGGGGTGACAGCCCTGCAACCCGTGGCTGTGCATTGTCTCACCTAATCATCCCCACCTGCCTGCAGAAATTCAGCAGCCTGCGGGCCAGCGACACTGAGCAGATGCGGTTTAAACAGGCTGAAAGTGATGCAGTCGTTGGAGGACACAGCCAAGAGGAGCGTGGTATGTGGGCGTGGGGGGCTCCCACTCAGGCCTGTCAGTGGGGCAGGACGCACACTCCCCTGCTGCCTCACCACCAGTGTCAGCATTAGGATGTGTGGGACCAGGCAGGGGCATGGCAGGGAGAGGACATGGTCGTTTTATTCTGCTCCCAGATGGGCCAGTGGGAAGCCTGTCTGAAGCCCCGTTCGCCCAAAGCATAGCACCCTCTGTCTCCCACATGTCCCCTCCCCTCGCCCCGAGCATCCCACAGCTGCCCTCTGCACCTGCGTGCCGTGCCTCTGCCTCCAGCCTTCATCCTCCACATCCCTGGATGGGTGCAGGTGCCCCTGCCACAGGATCTACTCGTGGTCTCTTGACTGCCAACCTCGTTCCCACTTCCCCAGTGCCCCCCACAAACCTTTCAGACACTCTGAGGTCACAAGTGACCGAAACGGATGGCTCCAGCTGACTGAGAGCAGCTGGCTGGTGGTTTCAGGACCCCTCCCCAAGAGCTGGCACCTGGGTCACAGCAGAGGTCCAGACAGGAGGAACTAAACAATGTCCCATGTCCCCCACTCTCAGCCCACTAGGGCACAGACCTCAGGGAGCTTGCACTGAGTGGCAGACTGGGTGGTGAGAGGCCAGCGGGGCAAGACCCTGCCCTCAGTGGGATGGCCGACTTGCCACACTGAGGGGCAGCTCGTGCCTTTGCCCTGGTCCCTGTGACAATCTGTCTCCTGCTGCAACAGGCACTTGAGAGTCCCTCAGCCCAGCCTGTCTCTTTCTTCTAGGTCTGAGCCATACCTGGGGACACTGGCTTCTCCACTGAAGAGCTGGAAGACCTTTACATGGTGTTTAAGGTAAGAGCCGAGAACAGGGACAGGACCTGTAACTGTGACCTTGTCTTCCTAGAGCATCCTCAGCACAGAGGCTCCTGCCGGAAGAGAAGGGGTCTGGAAGCATCCGCGCATGCACTTGCTGTGAAGTCTAAGTGGTAGAAGTTAAGCCTTGTTGGAGTTTAGGCAGAACACTCCCTTAGAAAGCACAAGGCAGCTTACAGCAGAAGTTCATGGGCTCAAGGAACTGCAGAGTTGAGGGAGACAGTGTCAGGCCTGGCTGGATCCAGGGACTCAGATGCAGTGTTGTACACTCTCTCACCATCTGATGTTCTCTGAACTGCGCTTCCTGCAGAGTCCATGGCTGTCTGCAGCTCCAGGGACGTGCTATCCCCTCAGTAGCCCCAGGACAAGGGAAACTTTCTTCCAAATGATCAGACTAACTCAAGTTAGGCACTGGATTCAAGTTAGGTTGGCGTTGACTGTTAGGCAAAAAGGAAAAAAAAATTAAGATTTATAGTCCAGTGGCTAAATTGTATGCACTGGGATCCTATGTGGGTGCTGGTTTATATCCTGACTGTTCCACTTCCCTTCCAGCTCCCTGCTTCTGGCTTGGGAAAAACAGTCAAGGATGGCCCAAGGCCTTGGGACCCTGCAGCCACATGGGAGACATGGAAGAGGCTCCTGTGCTGTGTGCTTCTGGGTGCAGAACCCTGACCTCAGACCCCACAGCACCCCAGGCCCTGCACTGTCACCCACGCTCACTGAGGCAGTTGAGGGCTGGGCTACTTCTGTCCTCGCCTGTCTTCTGGCAGCAGGCCTGGGAGACCAGGGCAGCTTGTTCCTCCCCAGGTTCATGTTCACACGTGAACCGCACAGTGTGGTCCTCCTCCAGCGGATGTGCTGAGCACAGGGTTCATGTCTGTCAAGTTTCTTCCCTCCCGGTGTAACTGTCATAGGTGTGATCCCACACACGTGACCTTTTCCTAACAAAACCACAGGATTCATCCGTTCTCAGGCTTGTCCATCACACCGCATTGCTGTTTGCATATAGGGGAGACTTGTAGTCTTCTGGAAAAAGAAAAAAAAAATGGAGTGGGATAGAGCTGCTGCTGCTTTCAGTGATCAAGTGGGGAAATGCCCAGGCCCTCCTTGACGGTGGTGCCGGAGGGCAGAGCCCAAGGTCAGGCCAAAGCAGGAGGCTCCGTGCAGGGAACCAGAACCCGGGGCTGCTCCCGCACAAGCACAGGCTGGACCTCGGCAGAGGTGGGCTGCAGTCCCAGCTGGAGAAGAATGTGCTCCATGTTGTTATTTCCTGGTTGGCAGAGGCACTACCACAGGAAGATCGGGAAGGAAGCAGAAGCGAGGATACCCAAGAAAAGCGAGCAGGTACAGGCCATTCTGCCCTGACGGCCAGTCAGGGTCTCAGGGCTGAGGTCTGGGGTTTCATATGGGCTGTGTCCATCCCCAGTCACTTCTGCAAAGCTCCCCCACTGCCTGGCACCCAGTTGACAGGCATGCCCTGAAGGTCAGTGACCTTGGCTGGAGGCCCTGCTGTCCCCTGTGATGCCTGGTGTCCCCTGTGAAGTTCTCAGCTCCTCAGGCCAACCTCTCACAGCCTAGAACACAGCCTCAGGACCATCCTCATCCCATTGAGCCATCCCTTCTTCAGGGCATTCTCCCCATCAGCACCTCCCCAGATGCAGGTGCTTTGTAACAGGGCCCATCCCACCCCCTGACCCCAAGCTCAAGCCCTCTTTCTGTCATGACAGGCCGAGATTAATGTCTTTTCCTCCTGACTCAACAGAGGAGAAGGGGACCAGCCCCCCAGACTACCGACTCTACCTTCGCATGTGGGCCAAGGAGGGAGAGGCTCAGAAGGAGACCATCCAGGATCTGCCCAAAATGAACCAGGTAGGCCAGGCAGGAGGCTGCAGCAGACACCTCTACAGAACCCTGAGGGACACCGGGGCCCAGCATGCCATGTCAGCACCACGCCCCAGGGTCCACACAGGGTGGCACTCGTTACTCACTAGCTCACTTGAGCGCCCAGGAGTCCCAGTGAGGATTCTGGGAAGTCAGGAGCTTGTTGCTCAGGGGCCATTTGCACAGGGACCACTTGTTCAGGTGAAGGGACAGTGGTAGGTCTGAGCAGCCCTGGGGAAGGTTACCCCACAGCTGCTTCCTCACACTCCCTGCCCAGGCACCCTGTGCACACAGGCTTGTCTGCTCTCCACTTCCTGCTCTCTGGGGGCAGGAGCTTCTTTGTCTTCCCAAGGGTCTCCCAGGCAGGAAGGGGCAACCCCTGGGTTCAGCTGCAGAAAGTAGCCAGAGGCAGTCCCTGAACTACAGCCTGCCCTTAGTGCTTGGGCTGGCCCGGCCCTGGCTATGCCCAGAGGGGCCCTGTGAGCCTAAGCCTTCTCCAGCCTGAGGAATGGGTGGTCTCCCCCCTCTCTCAGGCCAGGATGTGGTTTAGAGACCCAAGACCACCCTCACCCCCTCAGCAGCACCCTCTGGGAGCTTCCCTGAAGGTCAGAGTTGAAGTCGCTTTCACCCCGGAGCTAGAAGGCCAAGGGTGAGGCCAGACCCCAGGGAGGAAGCCATGGTCGAGGCCGGGTTCACACAGCCATGCATCTCCAACAGCAGAACCACATGTCGGAGCAGAGAGCCCAGCTCAGAGCTGCTGTCTGCTGCAGGGGGAGAGCCCAGGATGGCAGAGTGACTGCTTGGATCCCTCCCGACACTGAGCCTCCACATTCCCGTGTGTGAAGTAAGACTAGAGCACTGGTCTGGTGCCGATAAACAGGACCACATCCTGGCACCAGTTCCAGTGGCCAGCAGCATGTGTGGAATGAACACCAGGGCCATCTTACCATCTCCTTGTTCTGCCTTCCCCCTTGATAGGAGCAATTCATTGAGCTGTGCAAGACGCTATACAACATGTTCAGTGAGGACCCCCTGGAGCAGGACTTGTACCACGCCATTGCCACAGTGGCCAGCCTCCTCCGCATCAGTGAGGTGGGGAAGTTCTTCAGTCCCAGTGTCAAGAAGCCCACGGGTGGCACTCTCAGCAAGGACCAGGGCAGTTCCACTGAGGATGAGTCCCCACTGCCAGCAAGGGAACCCCCTTAGGCCCAGTACAGGAGTGCCAGCCACCAGCCATGGGGCATCCCCAGTCACCAGCAAGGGAACCCCCTCAGAACCCAGTACAGGAGTGCCAGCCACGGGGGCTCCTCAGTCACCTGCAAGGGAATCCCATCAGGCCCCAGTACAGGAATGCCAGCTGACAGCCACGGGGGACCCCTGGACCAAAGCTGGTGGAGACACCCACCTTGGAAAAGTGCCACAGGAGAGACAGACGGTGGTAGAGGGGGGCAGTGGAGAGGGGCAGGGCTCACCCTCCCAGCTCCTGTCTGATGATGAAACCAAATACAACATATCCATGTCCTCCTACTCAGTGGTCAGCATGGGCTCCCTGCAGTGTGAAGACCCCACAGACACTGCCCGCATTGGGGACACCATGGACGCAGACTGGTGCATCTCCTTCAAGCAGATCCTGGCCTCCATCCTGCCGGAGTCTGTGCTGGTCAACTTCTTTGAGAAAAGGGTGGACATTGGACTCAAGATGAAGGACCAGAAGAAAGTAGAGAGACAGTTGAGTGCCTCCAGTGAGCATGAGCCATCTGTTGCTCTGGGCTGAGCCCCTTGGCTGAGTGATTCTGGCTGAGGCCTCTGTCCCTCCCTCCTTCCCTTTGCAGTTCCTCATTAAAGACACAGCCCTGCTGCTCCCCCTTGGAAGCAGTGAGCTGTAAGTGAAAGGAAGGCTGATGCCAACACAGCTTCCTTAGAAAGAGTCTCTGGGCCTGCATCCCCTAGCACAGGCCAGTCCTGGGAACCAGGAATAAGTGGCAGCTCCTCCATTCCTCTCTGCCTGTGGCCTGGGAAGTCAGGAGAGGACAGCCCAAAGCCTTGAGACCCTGCACCCACGTGGGAGACCTGGAAGAAGCTCCTGCCTTCTGGCTTTGCATTGGCTCAGCTCTGGATATTGCAGCACTTGTTGAATAAACCAGTAATGAAAGATTTTTCTCTCTGTCTCTGTTTCTTCTCTCTGTAAATCTGCCTTTGCAATAAAAAAAAATAATAACAAATCTTAAAAAAAATAAGAACATTTCCTAAAACAAAATGGATGGGGCCAGTGCCACTGTGTAGTAGACTAAGCCTCCACCTAGAGTACTGTCATCCCATACAGGCACCAGTTCATGTCCTGGTTGCTCCACTTCCAATCCAGCTCTCTGCTTATAGGAGGCACAGCAGCCAACACATGAACTGACACCCATATGGGATCCTGGCACTTGCAAGGTGAGGATTTAGCCAGTTGAGCCATCACACTGAGCCCCCAGATGCTCCACTTCTCATTGAACTTCCTGCTAATGGCCTGAGAAATCAGTGAGGATGGCCCAAGTACCCTGCACCCACATGAGAGAACTGGAGGGTGCTCCTGGCTCCAGCTTCAGAGTAGCTCAGCTCTGGCCATGATGACCACATGGTGAGTGAACCAGTGATGAGAAGGGGATTTTCTCTCTCTGTGTGTAACTCTTTCATGAAAGGGGAACCCTTTGTACTGAGCCCAGACAGAAGGATGTTAGAGTCTTCCTTTTGTCTTTTCTTCCTTTCTATTCTTTTAGAAAGATTTATTTATTTTTATTGCAAGGTAAGAGATACAGAGAGGAGGAGAGGCAGAGAAGAAGACCTTCCATTACATGATTCAGTCCCTAAGTCGCCACAATTCATGAAACTATGCCGGAATGAAGGCAGGGGTGAGGAGCTTCTTCCAGGTCTCCCGTGAGGGTGCAGGATCCCAAGGCTTTGGGTTGTCTTTGCCTGCTTTCCCTGGCCACAAGCACTAAGCTGGATGGAAAGCAGGGTTGCCAGTGCCATATGGGATCCAGGGAACCAGTGCCATATGGGATCCTTATGCATTCAAGGCGAGGACTTTAGATGCTAGGCCAGCATGCCATGACTCCTCCCTTCCTTTCTTAAGATTTATTTATTTTCATTGAAAAGGCAGATTTATAGAGAAAAAGAGGCAAGAGGAAGGTCTTCCATCTGCTGGTTCACTACCCACGTGGCTGCAAAGACCAGAGCTGAGCTGATCTGAAGCCAGGAACCAGTAGCTTCTTCTGGTCTCTCTCGCAGGTGCAGGGTCCCAAAAACTTGGGCCATCCTCCACTGCTTTTCCCTCACAAGCAGAGAGCCAGATTGGAAGTGGAGCAGCCGGAACATCAACTGGGGCCCATATGTGATGCTGCCACCACAAAGTGGAGGATTAGCCTGTGCAGACACAGTGCCAGCCTGTGCAAATAAATCTTTTTTAAAAATGAGGACAATGGGACAATGTGTGGTAAAGCAGATAAAGTTGCTGCCTATAACACTGGCATCTCAAGTCGGCACTGATTAGTGTCCTGGTTGCTCTATTTCCAATCCAGCTTTCTGCTAATGGCCTGGAAAAAGGGGTGGAAGGTGGCCCAAGTGTTTGGGTCCCTGCCATGTAGATGGGGGACCTGGATGAAGCTCCTGGCTATGGGTTGACCCTGGGTTGGCCCAGAGCTGGCCATTGCAGCCATCCAGGGGGCAAACCAATGAATGAAGGAATCCTCTCTTTTCTCTTCCTCTCTTTGACTTCAAAAATAGATCTTTTAAAAAATAAGAACAGACTGTTCAATAAGTGGTGCTCAGAAAACTGCCTATTTAAGTAGAATGAAATCAAGTTAGATGTCTACCACCCGTGGTTTTCTCCCCCTCCCTCACCAAAATCTTATATTTTATTTACCTTTTTTTGATGAGGATGATTAAATATTTCTGAACATAAGCCATTGGAATCCCAGCTGAAAGCAAGAGCCTCTGCTGGCATTCCATGAAAGCCAAGACTGCAATGAGGATCCTGCTATTCAGTCACTACTTTTTTTTTTTAACTTGTATCAGCCAGTGAAATAAAAAAGAGAACATACTAAGAGGCATGAAAATCATGATTATGGGCACGGTGGCGTGGCCTTGCTGCTAAAGTCCTCAGCTTGAACACGCCAGGATCCCATATGTGCACTGGTTCTAACCCTGGCAGCTCCACTTCCCATCCAGCTCCCTGCTTGTGGCCTGGGAAAGCAGTTGAGGACAGCCCAAGGCTTTGGGACCCTGCATCATGTGGGAGACCTGGAGGAAGTTCCAGGCTCCTGGCTTCGGATCAGCATAGCATCGGCTGTTGCGCTCACTTGGGGAGTGAATCATCGGATGGCAGATCTTCCCCTCTATCTCTCCTCCTCTTTGTATATCTGACTTTCCAATAAATAAATAAATATTTTAAAAAAAAAGAAAATCATGATTAGGCATACATTGTTGATCATTATTTATGGTTACTAGTATTTATACTTATCTTTAACCTGAAAATAGGAAAGCAAATGAGAAATGACTCAAAACAGTAAGGAAATCTAATACAGTGGGTGCAAACAAAACTAACACAATCTCCACAAGTTAATGTGGCTTTTATATAACAAACAACTAGTTACATGGAAGACCCAGAAGAGCTTGTGGCTTCAGCCGGCTTGCCTGGCACAGCTGCTGCAGCCAGATGGGAAAGGAAGCAGCAGATGGTAATCTGTGTCTCCCTCCTTCTGTCACTCTGCCTGGTAAAGCCACAAAACAGCAGCTTTGAGCTCTGTCTCACTCAGCCTTTCCAGAAGTAGTCATTTCTGGAAATCGGCAGATGTGGCTCTGGCACAATGGCTCAACTGGCTAATCCTTCATCTCCAACTGTAGCATCCAAGTGGGTGCTTGTTCATGTTCCAGCTGATTCACTTGCCATTTAGCTTCAGGCTAATGGCTTGGGAATGCAATAGAGCATGGTCCATAGCCTGGGGCCCCTGTACCCATGTGGGAGACCTGCAGGAGGCTCCTGGCTCTAGATTGGCTCAGTTCTAGCCATTGCAGTCATTTGGGGAGTAAGCAGTGGATGGAGGAGCTTTGTCTCTTCTCTCTAGAAATCTGATTTTCCAATAAACTAAACTTTTAAAAGACCTGCATATGCATAACTCCTGGAATTGAACTCACTGGGGAGCAAGTGAGAGATGGCATGGCGTGTAAGATCTTTACAACTGTATGCTTCTGTCTGCCATCTATTAGATGATGAAACAATTTGATCTTTCCAGAGCTCAGCATTCTAGGCTCTGTAAGAGGGAAATGCTCCTGAATTCAGGGGAGGGGCTCTTGCAAAGAAATGGGAGAATGCCCGTGATGCAGATCTACGGCTGCGTTATCCTCCTCTGGGTTCGAATCCTTTCTCAGAGAGTTGAAAATGACCATGAGAACTGCACTACATTATCCACGTGCAGCAACTTAAAGATGCAAATAAGTTCCATTCCATCAACTCTCATAATACACTGAAATAGGGAAGTAATACATGGGCTCAGCTCTGGCTGTTACTATTTGGGGAGTGCACCAGTGGACTTTTTCTCTCTCTCCTCTAGAAAACTCTTTCAAATAAAAATAAAGCGGCTTTTAAAAAGATGTATTTCTCTTGGGCCCGGTGTGATAGCATAGTTATTAAAGTCTTCATCCTGCAAGTATCGAGATCCCATATGGTTGCTGGTTCTAATCCCAGCGGCCCTGCCTCACATCCAGCTCCCAGCTTGTGGCCGCAGAGGGCAGTGGAGGATGGCCCAAGTCCTTGGGACCCTGCACCCACGTAGGAGACATGCAAGAGTTCCTGGCTCCTGGTTTAGGATCTGCTCAGCTCTGGCTGTTATGGTCGCTTGAGGAGTGAATCATCAGACAAAGGGTCTTCATCCCTGTTGTTAGACAAAGGGAATGTGGCCTGGGGGAGAGTGGACTGCAATATTCCTGTGCTGGGAAACTTTGTAACAAGCAGGTGAGCCTCAGCCAATGACATCAGCCCAGATTCTCTTCCTGGCAGACAGCTAAAAGTTTCCAGGAAGACAGGCAACTTTGTAACAAGCAGGTGAAGCTGTTTTTGTTCCTCCCTTCTCTTTGCTTTCCACAAAGAGTGTGCTGAGGTCTTAGAGCTGGTGCTTCTTCCTTCTTAAAAAAACTGCCTCATTCAACTTGTCTACTGTTTTTTTTTTTCCTTTTCACACCAACTTAATATTAAAAATGTGTTTTCATTTTGTGTAGAATTGATTTACATCTTAAAGAATCTAATACAGGTTAGTTGAAATGGCAATTCTTATATACACTGGCAAATCATACCATGTTTTAGGATATTGCCCTTAAGTCACTATCAAGCAAAGGTTTGTTTTGGTGCAGCAAGTGAAGCCACCATTGAGATGCCTGCATCCCATCTCGAGAGTCCCACTGGAGTCCCCGCTACTCCTCTTTTGATTCAGCTTCTTACCAAGGCATCCTGGGAGGCAATGGATGATGGTTCAGGTGCTTGGACACCTGCAACCCCTGTGGGAAATTCAGAGGGACTTCCAGGTTCCTGGCTTTGGCTACACCCACTCTGGGGAATTAATCAGCAAGCAGGAGATATCTTTCTGTCTCTCTCTGCCCTTCAACTCAATGAAAATAATAAGCAATATAAAAAAGTTCATTCTGAATTTGAATAAAGAAGAAAGAATAGGTTTAAAGACTCACACAAACACATAAATATCAGTGAAACGAGTTTTGTGTAATGACTTACTGCATCAGTTT